AAAACACATTATCTGTTAATGTCTATGTTGCTTCTTGTCTGTCATAGGTTTGCTGTGAATTATGATTGCCAGTATTATTATTATTATATATAACCTATCAGAAAACACTTAGATTTGTACAGTTTGTCGACAATAAAGAAAACAAAATGGATTTTAAATACTAGTGCAGAGCAATTTACATATAGAGGGGTGATTCATCTACACCTATAAAAAGATACAGTTAAAACATGATAGGGAGCATCTAATACTTACTCTAATGAGAGAATTGTAAACTATACGAACCTATAATGCGGAATTATCTGTATTCTGCCATTTAATTTGTTTAAGTTACTTTATTCACATGAATTTAGGGCTTTCCAAATCATTTGCAGGAGGCTCAGACAGATTGTGTGTGAGTGTCAAGCCTCCTACCTGAGCATAACCAGCCCACATGTAGAGTAACGTCACCATCTGCGGCGCTTCAAAAGCAAAGGAGAAACCCTGACTATTCTGTCTGATAAAAAAATTAAGTAAATGAAATAATTTAATACCTTTACCATATAATCAGAGCAAAATATATTTGCCTGTTAACGGATTTGGTAACTGAGAAAAAAGTCATTAGTTTTGTTTTTTTTTTTAATTTAATGAATATTTATATTTATATTGAATATTTGTTTATTAAATCACAATTTAAAATGTTATCATGATTATTGATATTTTCTTCCATGTTGTTTTTTTTATTTTCGACTATTTATGAAAGCATTTGTTTAATCTTATTTACCAAGTTAGGAAATCAACGTTTAAGTCAACAAAAACAAAAATACCCAGACTGTTTTAGCTACATTTCACTGCCTAACTGTGAAACATAAAACTGACTTTAAGGGTTAAATATATTAAACGGTGCAAAATATCAAGTGAGTGTAATCCCCAAATAGCGCTAATAGTTATGCTTAGTTTTTCAGTTCATTTCAATTTCAAGTTCAAAAACATGCTTTTTGGCATTAAATACTGGCACAATTAGCTATTTGCTGCATGTTGCAAACACAGTAAATCAGTTTGAGCATTTTATTTAAATATTCTCCTCCCTATATTTTCTGCCTCGAGAAACAAAGTCGCAGAAATGCATATGCAACATTTTGAGTCATACCTGACACACAATCTTGTCACTGCACTCTCTTTCTAAATACCAACTCTACCCAGTTTGTGCTGCTGCAAGTCAGTAAATCTGCCCCTAAATGTTTATTTTGTAAACCCCTCTTTGGGTCAGCTCCACAACATATTATTGATCTATTAACTCCACATTTTGCCTCAAGGTCACTGAGGGCATCTCTCACTGAAACACCAAAGATGACCACACTTTCTCCGTTGTTACCTTCAGCCTCTGAAACAGTCTGCTATCCCACATAAGGACCTGTCCAGTACAGCTCTAGAGACTCAACTATTTACATTTAAAAAAGAAAAAAGAAATTTTTTACTTAACATTACATTAACCTATAACATTTTTATTATTACTCATTACATTTTAACAATGTCGTTAATGTGGGTGTTGTGATTTGTTTTTAGAGATTTGAAATCTTAATATGTCTGACACAACTGGACAGGACTTTGGGTCAGATCCTGTTGTTTTTCATTTAAATGTTTTATATGAATAAAAGTTGCTTGACATAAATATATTTTTTGCTCTTTTCACATTTTTTGACCATGTAGGCTGTGCCAGTAAACTACTCCCCACTGATATCAGTCAGCAAGGCAAATATCAGTCCACACCAATATCGGGCAGATATATCATTGCAAGTCTAAAAAAATATATATAATTTTATACACTCAACAATCACCTGACAATTAGATAATTACAATAATCATCAGCTGCAGTTCAACACATAAACATGCCTGCAGCAGTCTATAATGATCTTATATCTTTAACATTTTAACTCAACTTCATTATATTTTTATCATTTAAAAAAATATTTCAGAAGTGCGCCCAATTATCTTGTGGGCACAAAATAACATCAAGATAGAAATGAAAGAGAGCGGGATAACTGTAAACCTTGGCACTGGATGCTTTCAACAGCTGACGCGGAGACAAGTCTAGATGCATCTTATTAATCTAACTCAACCTCAGCTAAATTAGAATGCTTTATTAATCCCCGGGGAAATTATGTATTTCTAAAAATATTTACACAACAATCTAGTCCCATGCTTAAATCAGGCGCTGTTGCAGCCAAATCTGGGTCAGGTCACGGGATGGAGCGGGATCAGTGCGGCTGCCTTGTTGCTCCATGCCCTCAGTCACTCTCATTCAGCTTGGCAATATCCTGTCTTCATCATGCCCGGTAAGATAAAGGGCTGTGAATTTGCAAGTAGCCGTGAAACCCCCTCGTAAAGGGCAGCAAATATGTACCGGGCCAAGCCAAACAGCTGCATTGGCTAGATTAGCTCGCTAACATTAGCTCAAAGTTGGCGTGCTGTGCTTCACCTCCCACCCACTGGGAAAAAAAGATACCTACAAGGACTCATTGCTCTGTTTAGCCAACTGTACACAATTGAATGGGTTTGAACCGCTGCTCTTATAACGTTAAGACGATGAGGTAAGAGAGATTCCTAAATAGTCTGCGCAAATGGGAGTTTTAGGGATGAACTGTGCAGCTTCCTGAGGCACAATCCCATCATGGGTGTGGGTGGCTCAAAGACGTCTGGGTGGGGATAAAGCAGGCGGACAATGACCACGCTGTTTCAGACTAAACCCTTGAAGATTAAACTTGAAAACGGAAAATCTTCAACACATTCATCTATATGTGAGCAAAAACAGTATGTTGGGTCCGGGGCGCCGGGACAGCGGCTAGCATTAGCCAAGCTGATGGTCCTCCATCATTAGAAAGTCATGCCACAATAATCCGCTAGCTAACGGTTACTGTTGCTAACCACCACATCCCCACTAAAACTCCCGTCTCTGGCTTCTCTGCTCTGCTTACCTCCCGCAATAGACGAATAAACCCGACCTGAGTGTTTATCGGTGTCCAGCAGATGATAACAATAGTCCCCCGAAACGTACTAAACAGTCCCTTCTCCGGCCCGCTCTCTCTCATCAGTGGTACTCCCCCACCATCCAGCACCCGCTCAACCGAACTCTACCGGGCCCGAGAAGATGCACAGCACGACCGCCGCCGCCGCACTCCTCTAAGGCAACGCCTACTAGGAATATGATTGGCTGTCAAAGTCTGGTGCCTCTATGCGATTGGTAAAAAAACAATTCCCCATGCCGAAACTTTAGCTTAGTTAGTCGACAACTGCCGCCCAAATGCCATTTGTCTGTGGCCAATAAATGAACACCTGCAGACCGTTGGATGCTGCTCCGGTGGGACGTAGTA